AGAGAGAGAGAGAGAGAGAGAGAGAGAGAGAGAGAGAGAGAGAGAGAGAGAGAGAGAGAGTGACCTCCCGCTGCTCCTCCACCACAACTTCATCCTCCTCCCATTCCTTCCTCCTGCTCCTCCTCCTCGCGCGGCTTCTCCTGCTCTTGCCCCCGTTCCACCCCCCCCTTCCTCCTCCCGCTCCTTCTCTCGCTCCTCCTCCCGCTCCTCCCCCTTCTCCTCCTCCTCCTGTACCGCCTCCCGCTCCTACTCCTGCTCGTCACCGATGGCCGTCATCGTCGTAGTCAAAACTCTCTCTCTCTCTCTCTCTCTCTCTCTCTCTCTCTCTCTCTCTCTCTCTCTCCACATCCGTTTCCGTTGTCGTCCTCCCTCCGCTTCCTCCCTCCGTCCTCCCTCCTCCACGCGGATGGCGTGTCTTCCACTGACCTGAAAGAGCCTCCCTCCTATTCCTCCCTCGTCCTGCTCCCTTCTTCACCTTGCTCCTCGTTTTCCCTCATCCTCCCCTTCATGATCGGCTTCCTGACTGTCACCGGGACCATCTCCATCCCCCTCGAGTCGTTGCCCCCGCACATGTGCATGTGTGTGCCGGGTGTGCCCCTCCTGCCCTCCATCACTTCGCCGCCATCCGACCGTGGCAAGTGTGAAAGGCGAACAATGGAAAACAATGCTCGGCCTGCACCTTTCCGAGAGGGGCGCCTATGAGAGGCGCAGCCTTTTGCACCTGCCCAGCCGCGTTGGCCTGCTCGGCCGCTCCCTTCCCAGGCCCTGGGCCCATTTCGAGTTTCCCTGGGAATGCGCTGAAAATCGCCTCGGCTTTCCCAACAGTGGAAATAAAGGCTTGAGTGGGACGCTCATGCGAGACCCTCTATTTCCTTTAGAGTATTAGAGTAGAGTATTAGAGATAGAGAAGAGAGAAAAAGAAAAAAAAGACAAAAAAGAGAAAAACTTTAAAAAAGAGAAAAAAAAAGAAAACGGTATCAAAGACTCTGACCCCAACACGTTGAGATTGGATCATTGGAGTTATAATTGGAAATCTTAACTTCTCGACAGCCGTTGTGTACTTCCCCCCCCCTCGACAGCTGTTGTGTACTGGTGTTCACACTGAGTCCACATATGAATGCTGTGTCTTGGATTACTCCTGGCCCCCACAGTTCCCCCACCTGTGTGATGTGTAACTTTTTTTTTTTGGGGGGGGGGGGTCAGGGGCGAGGCTTGTGCAGTTTCCGCCGTCGATAGAAGTGAATATCAACACTGGGAGAGGGAGCCAAACTACTGTTTTTCCCTGAATATAAGATAGGATTCTCATAGATGTATTGAGTCTGATAATCGTGCAAGATACAGATATCATGATGGTGTTGTATGCAGGGGAAGAGGGTAGCATGAGTAATTGGATGAAGAAAAGAAACGTCAAGAAAAAAGGGGAAAAGTAGAGAAAAACAGACCTTGATTCGTATTCTCAAAAACAGAGATCTGACGGTCTCTTGAGGCGCAAAGTAGGTATTTATCCGAGTGTGAAAATTCCATCTGCGTGACCGTCAATGAATGGGCCCGCAATTGCCCCACACTCCTCCAGGTCTCGGTGTCCCATAACCAGACTTCTGCTGCTTGTGCAGATTGCGCCTGCCCACAAGAGCAACACCGAAATTTCGACAAGTGAAATCGCTGGAAACCAAGTAGTCCAGATTTGAACGGCAATCCAATCCTCTGTGCTAGTGGGACCTCACTCAAAGTCACCACCAATCATATCTACCTGAGCATCCAGACCACCAGCACACTTGCACTCCTGGGGCCAAGTCTCACTCACCTGAATTCTTAATTTCTGACTGTAGATTACGAAGGCCAACCGCCATAAATGACGAATCAGTGTAAGTAGGAGTCGGCCCCTGCACTCTGACGGATTCAGTCCAAATCAGGGTTGCATCCCTGCTGAACGCCGACCCCAACCGCCGACCGATTTGCAGTGGACCAGTAGGGCCGACCAGTCGGCGGTCTGCCGACCAGTCAGAAAACAGCCATCCACTGATTTTTTTTTCAGATCCGAGTTGGAAGCTGTACTGCACTTGCTGAGTACAGCCCAGATCCGCTGAGAAACTTTTGGGGATGGGGGGGGGTACGAGGGGTTATAGGGGGATATAGGGGGATACAGGGGGGTATAGGGGCGGTATAGGGGGGGGAGAGGGGGGGGGGGGGGGGGGGGGGGGGGGGGGGGGGGGGGGGGGGGGGGGGGGGGGGGGGGGGGGGGGGGGGGTTGGGGGGGTGGGGGGGGGGGTGGGGGGGGGGGGGGGGGGGTTAAGTGGGTGTTTTCGTGGGGGTTTTTGGGGAGGGTATGGGGTGTTGGTGGGGTTCTGGACCCAAAAAAAAAATAAAAAAATTGCGGGGTGCCGATGACCCCCAACCGGTAGGTGCCGACCAGTCAAGGGTCGCCGACGGTCGGGGGGGTGTGCAACACTGGTCCAAATCATAAAATCTCTCCTGAAAACCCAAAATCTTTTATTTATTTATTCATTTATTTTTGAAACAAACTCCCCGGCTACTGCTAGCGGTGCTGATAAGAGCAGACACCACTAGCACTCCCGAGGAGGCTCCATCTATTGGTGGGGAGCGGCACCTGCTGGAAAATAGGTCCAGCGTCCCAGAATCATATCAATTGTAACAATTGAGGACCATCTGAAGCGAAGTATGATTTTGGCTGCCAGCATTGACTGCCCCAGTGGACCTGGGGGGTTGACTGCGCAGCTTTTTTCGGAAGTTCTGCCTCTTTAAACTCCGAGGAGAGGCCAGATCTTACGTTCAATATACTAGCAGCACCCTTCCTTTTCTCTCACTCTTCTCCCCCTCTGTACCATGACGATCCCACTATAGACAGATCCTAGGGGGGGAAGAGATCTGGGAAACCTGAGAGAGGCCTCAGGGGGGCAGATGGGTCTGAGAGAATCCAATCATGAAAGGAGAGGGTATAACCTCTAACCAGCGTTTCCTGTTCTTCCCCCTTCCCCCCTTTCCAGGACACTGTCGCCATTCTGCCCCTTGTTCCCCCCCCAGCCAGTCTTTGCTGAAGTTTCGAATAGTTATTTGGATCTCCTTTTTGGAGTTAAGAAATGTCAGCTTTTCCTTTATCAGGTCCCATTGTATTGTTATCTCTGTCTGAATATGCTGCCTGATTGAATCAATAAACTCCGGACCATCCTGTCGACTACCTTCCATTTCCATTGTGCAGCGGCGCCACCATATGGCCCACAACACTGCCATCCTCCCTATTTTAAACATGTTAAGTTCGTAGTCGCTCAACTGATCCGGACTCCAAGTTTCACAAAGCAACGCTTTCCAGTCCCAGGGCCACTGTATGGAGGTGCCTAGCTGACACCAGATCCTGTCCCACCACCTCCAGAGCCATACTGAGCCTGGACATTGAAGAAAAATGTGTTCTATTGTCTCCGGGTGCATCCTTGAAGGGTAAGCAGTGCTGCAGAGCTTGCACCACGGAAGAGCAAGCCCCTTCTGTTCTAGATGGGTGTGGTCTATCAGCCAATCATTTGTTGGCAGGCACCTGTGTTCAATCTGCCATTGCAACAACACCAGCTTAGCAGGTTTGATCCTGTTATGTTTAAACCAGCGTATTCCTTTCAGGGACTCTCTTGCCACATTCAGCTGTCTCATCCACCGAGACTCCACTTTGTCTCTTAGGTTGATTTTTGGTCTCAACAGCCGGCAGGTAGCTTTAGCCGTCAGGGAATGTAGGTGCTTTTGGTGGGCGGTTCTCCATGGGTTGGGTATTGTCCAAACTAGTGTCCCCGGATCACAGGCCAGGCGGGAAATTGGGATGTTCAGTTGGTAGGCTATCCATTTTTCTCCTTCTCTCAGAACTCTTATTCTGAAAACAAGTTTAAACAACCAATGGCGAACGCCATCGGTCTCTGATGGGCGAATCCTGGTCAAATGATGGTTATTTTGCAGCTTAAAACAGTTGACCAGAACTTCCCCATCAGGGTGTATGTCTATTATGTTGCCTACCTTATCCCTGTGCTCCCGGAGAGTAACCCAGTCCCCCTCTCTGAGTTGTGGTCCCTTTCACAGTATACGGATCCAGTCCAAAGGGACTGCATCTGTAATTGTTTCAAGTGCATCCCGGGATTGCGGCAGTACCTTCTTTTTTTTTTTTTTTTTTTTAACATGCCCCCACCAGTGTTAGTGGTGCTGATAAGAGCAGACACCACTAGCACCTGGAGGGAGGCTCCATCTATTGGTGGGGAGCATCAACTGCTGGAAAACGGGTCCCGCGTCCCATATACAGGCTGAATTTGGAGACTATCAGACAAAAGACAATTGTGGGAGATTCCTGCCAGCACTGATTCCCCTGGGATCCAGGGGATTGACTGAGCAGAATATTGGAAGGAGGGGGAACCTCTTCACCCTGGACCCAATACAATGGATTCGGTCCAGTCTACAAAAGAAAAGAAAGTCAGCGGACACGATTTGCTGATTTTCACTTTTATTGTCATTTGTTTTTTTTTTCCGAACCCACCCCCCCCCTCTCCAGCAGCACCACTTCCTGATGAACTACACAGCACACAGCACACCGCACAGTGCACAGCTCGCCGCATGGGCGCAGCCCTTTCTGCCTTTCTTTTTTTTCCCCTGCCACATCCTATACCTCAGCGTCCACAATCTTTACCAAAAAAAAAGAAAGAAAAGCTAAGAGGGCCCACATGTGGTGGCCTTATCCCATGCTCGTGCTCCGGCAAAAGTCTCAGAAAGACCCAAGCGACTAATTCCGCACATGAAAAAGTGACACTCTGGCATGGAGAAATAAAAATGAAAGTCTGGGGAGAGGGAGGGGGAGGTGGAAGGGACGGGGACGAGGAATTGTTGCGTATATCCCGAAGAGGATGCGAACGATCAAGAATGCCATGGTATCTCTACACTTCTAAAGTCACTGGTTGGTTTTGACTTTTGAGCTTCCACTGAGCAGTGGACCGTTCTCGTTTTTTTCTTCTTTTTTTTTCTTATAATTTAAAGGCAACAGCCTTGACGTATCATTGTTGAACTGACTGGCCAAACAGGGGCTAGATCCCACTTACGTTGATTCTTCATTTTCTTTTTTTTCTTCTTTTTTTTTTTCTTATTTTAAGTTATTTATAATTTAAAGGCAACAGCCTTGACGTATCATTGTTGAACTGACCGGCCAAACAGGGGCTCGATCCCACTTACGTTGATTCTTCATTTCCCGCCGTTGATCTTCGTAATCTACGGCCGGAAACTGAGAATTCGGGTACGTGGGACATGGCCTCAGGGAATTCAGAGTTATTTTTAATAAATTAACACTTTACTAAGTTTACTCGTTTGATTCCATGCAGGATTTGAACTCAGGCCTGTTTACCAACAGTTGACGGCCATAACATTCGGCCACACGCGCGCAGCCCTGACAAGCGGGGACTTCTTTTTCTTTTTCTTTTTTTTTTTCCTTTTCTTTTCAATCTTCTTCTCGTGACGAAGCCAATGAGCAGGTGAAAACATTAGAAAACACTGGTGACCTTTTTTGTTTTTTGAACTTATTTCTCTCTTTCTTTTTGAAGTCTTTTTGAACTTATTTCCTTTTTCCTTCTTCTCAGCGAAGACGACCTTTTTTAGAAGTAAACAAAAAAGTAGAACAAGCGAACAAACAGCAATGGTTATCTACTCCTCTGGGACATCCACTGAAATTGGAACGATGCAGAGAAGATTAGCAAGGATCCTGTGCAAGGATGACATGCATAAATCGAGAAATGGTCCAAATGCTATTAAAAAACAAAACAAAAATTTGAAAAAAAGGAACAGTTATCGAAAGGGCGTAGTCACACCAGCACCATCGTAAATGTATCTGACTGCATTTACACCTGGATCCGGATGTATCTGGCCACAATTACATCAAGAAATAAGTAAAAAAGTACTTGTGTCAGTATGCCCTAGGAATATAAACTTTCTCTAGTCAATGGTTCAGGTTTTAGAGGTTAAAGGCCGAGCTCAGCTGCAGACCTTACAAGCAGTGGCGATGAATCTTCCTGAATGATCTGCACAGATACAGAACACGTCGTTCCCATGGCCATAAAGCTTGTGTGTCTCCGGCCAGAGCGTGTTCTGTGCAAGATGCTCCTCCAATGGTGGAGATTTAGTCGCAGATGGCACCGCCTCTGGGACTGGATCCATCATGCCGCCGCCACTGCCGCCCCCGCCACCGCTGCCGTATTCACCGAGCTCGTCATCCTCCCCTTGTGCTGCACCTGGGAGACCACAATCACCATCTGTTGAGACATATCAAGTGATGGGAAATGCACGACATCGATAGGGAAATATTTCCTCTGTGATATTATTCCATTAATTAATAATAATAACATTAAACCACCAGTGCCTCTGAGCCTCATTTTACCGATGCGGATTCCCCTGCGTGCCCAAAAAAAAATTAAAAATTGAGCTCGCGTGGGCATGCTTCGTTTTTTGTTTTGCCTGGTGTTTTGGTCCCGTAGCAGTGGCATACTTTTGAGTCCTGAACCTCTACCTACCAAATCCCCCCTCCCCCCCCCCTCCTTTCACCCACCAACTCGATGGGGACTGCGGCATGTTGGAAAAGAGCAGAAAAGGCTCGCGAGCTCTCCAGTGTATGCTGAAGTTCATGGATCCTGCGGAAACAAACAACCAGACCCAAATTTGACCCAGTATCATTCTGCAAGGAATATGAGCGAGAGTGGTAGACAAAAAACCAAGCTGCAAAATCACAAAGTAGCTCAGATAGTCATGAACCAATCAGAGAGCTCAATGCACCAAGATACCATACAAATAAGAGCAATACAACAAACTTGAATGCCAATGTCGCCACTCTGTGGTCACACCAACAATGTATCCAATGTCGCTCTTCACTGTCTGGCGCCCAGCACCCAGCCTATCCCACTCAGCCTATCTAGCCTATCTACGTTCTTGAACTGAGTCACTCTAAAGTCGAAGACCAATGTACGTGACGTCAACACCAATGCCGACCACCAGCATACACTAGGTACGTTGTCTCTCCTCCCCTCATCACCCCTTGGACCCCCACCTCATGCGCCTCCTACCCGAAGACCACCTTCGCCATCACCTGCCTACGCGGCCCTGCAGCCCGACTATGGCTGCTGTACGGCCCGCTGCCCATGCAGCGCTCCTCACCTCAGCGCCCGTGCGCGCGTTCGACCAGCAGGCTAACGCAGACACCAGCGCAACAGCGCAGCACCGTGTCCGCATTGCCTCCAAGGCCAGAATCCCTTCCTCAGGCCAGGGCACTTTCCTTTATGGAAAGTGCAGCCTTCGTTTAGCTGCATGGGCCTGGCTGAAAAAGTTTCCAGTAGCTTCCAGTAGGGCCCCAGTGTCTGCGCCCAGGCCCTCCCTTGCTGTTATGGGCCTGGGCCCTGTGCAGTTAGGCTCATCCAGGCCGACCACGAGGCACAAGTGTTTGCCGCATTCTCATTGGCTCGCGGCAGTTGTCTGACGACAATACTGCTTTCTCATTCGTCCGCTGCCACTACGCGATGTGTCGGCCTCACAATGCGTGTGCCCAGGGCGCAACCTCCCGGCCCTGGACTCAACTGTGCAGCGCAGCCCTCGTTTCCGGAAACAAGGGCCTGGATGCTCACGTCTCCCTGTAACCAACTGGCGTGCTGCAACTGTCTGAGTACCCACACATGGAAAATTGTCAAATTTTGACCTCTTGTGAATATTCAGGCCCACCTTCACTTAGGGCGGCAAAGGGCTTGCTGGAGGCCACAGCCCAGAACATGTGCATGTCTGATAAGGGCCCCGCGAGGGCTCAATCCTCGCAATTCTGTATCATTCCAATTCGAGCGGATGTTTCAGAGGACTGTCTATGTTTCCTTGCATCACATTTATCCTTCGGGACATCAGCTCAAATCGGAATGAGATAGTATGATACAAAGAAGATTAGCATGACCCCTGCACCAACGATATCATACACAATTCAGAAATCTGCTCTTTATTTAATTCAGAAATCTGTTCTAAGATTACCGAACGAAAAAAGAAACTTCTGCGTCATCAGAGTAATGATGTTCCAATCGTTTACTATTACCAGCCAATGAAAAAAATGCCACACTTGCCCATCCTTATACGTTCTTATCCGTTGTTATCGGTCCTTATCTGTTATTATCCGTTCAAAAATTAGAACAACACAAAGAAGACTAGCAATGGCCCCTGCACTGAGAATGGCCCAGAGTCCGGCCGAAACGTGTAAAGGTATCCATGTGTTTCTGACTTCCGTCTATGGATATGGAGCTCAAGTTTATCGACTCCTGACTCTCAATATGCCCACCGTTAGCTCTCTTTCTCTCTCTCTCTCTCTCTCTCTCTCTCTCTCTCTCTCTCTCTCTCTCTCTCTCTCTCTCTCTCTCTCTCTCTCTCTC